TAAACCGCGAGGACTAGCGATCACTGGGTCAGGCCTCTATAAACATGCGTTGCAATATGCGATGGATAGTGCTATGTTTAAAACGCTTAAGCCGTTCAAACGTTAAACTTGGACCATGGGCCCCGAGGTCGAGAAGGCGCGCTTGCTGCCCCCACGGCCGAAGACGGAGGCTGAGCTGAAGATGGGGTTGCGGCTCAGCGGACGTCTGGGTGCTGCGCATCTGGAAGGACTTTGCGGCGGCGTCGCTTTCCGGTCCGGCAACTCTGCAGCTGATGAGACGGGGCGGCTGTTCCAGGCCCTGAGCATTGAGCTGCAGCGCGAAAACGCAAGGGCAGTGCTCCGGCGGTCCCCAGAGGCCGCGGGGCTGGGCCGGCACCTGGCAGACCCCTTTCAAGTTCCGACTCCTTTGGTGCGTGAGGCGGGGAATGCGTGTGGGGTACCCGCGCCGCCACTTCTCGCTCTCTCTTGTGAGTGAGCCGGGGACCCCTTCCGAAGGTATCCGCGCCACAGCTTGTCTGTCTTTCTTTGCTGGGTGTGAGCCAGGGGCCCCATCCGAGGGTATCCGCGCTGCACCATAGCCATCAGTTCTAGTACAGGCCCCAGCGGAATTGCTGCATCCCTCTTTTGCAGTTTTCTGCTGCGAAGTATTCTCACTTCCTTTTGGAGTCATTGCATGGATAACTTGAGGCCTAAGAATTGATTGCTTGGGCACGCGGGCTCGGAATGTCTAAGCCCGTGCTACCCAGAAAATGTCTAAACGGTTTAAATGCATGACAACAGAAAACTGTTTAAACATTGTTCAAACGATAATTCAACCAAAAATGTCTAGATGTTTAAACGGCTAAAACCCACCAAAGTGTTTAAAAGTTTAAACCTAGACGGTGTTTGGGGCGACACATAACATTAAGGGAGTATGTATGATTGGGGCGTGAATTCGGGGATGGGATTACATGCAATGCGACGGCTTCAGGTGCTGGACAACTTTCGAGGATGCGGCTAGACAGGGCTCCCAATCTGGCTGGTCGGAACCCTTCTCCGCACTTCACCATCACGCGAGGCAGTACAAATAACGGTTCATTCTGACAAGCCATCAGCCTTAAATGAAACAACAGATCACTTCTTTTGGCTTGTCACGTCTGTCATCCAAACCACCATGTTAACCTGTTGGCTAAAATGCCAGGCGGAAGTAGCCCTTTCAGGTCTAGCTCGCTCCCAAAGACCACGTGGCAATTTTTGCCGGCACCAAATAAGTGCTGGCGCACCAGGACGGTAGCTGTTATTTAGCTATTTGATTAGCCTACCCTCTTCGAAAGCCAGTACTTGAAAATCGGTTCTGGACTCTTGCTGTCACTTTCTTACCGCTAGAAGCTTACATAATGTTCTTCGAACCCGCTTGGCACAGACGGCCGGAAGAGCTCGTTCGCAGAGCAGGTCGAGGTTGCAACTTTTTTCTGTGGCATTCGGCTGGGTGCCGATCCTCACAAAGCGATACGCGATCCGGATTTGGAGCAGGCATCATTCGGCCAGCAATGTTCCTGGGCAGGCCAGCCATGCAAATGCCTGGTGGTGTAGATTCTGCAAGCGTCACAACAAGTACACAGCAATGGCAAAGGCAAATAACCTCCCGCATATCAAGTTCACTACCCCGACCTTCTTGGAGCAAAAATGGCAGAGGTGCGTATTTGGCACAGGATATGGCGAAAAGCAAGAGCTTGTCAGCTCCCTGAAGGCGGCATTTAACTGCTGGTCAAACGATGCCCACTGAGGTGTAGCAGAATGGCTACAGAGTTTCAAAGCGGCTGCGAAGAACCTGCACGTTTGCACCTTAGCGATAGGGGCTCGCAAGGAGCTGCCACAGATCAGGGAGGCGAAGACGATCGAAGACGACACATGGCTCACGCTGTGGCTTTCAAGAAATTCGTCACGGCTACTACAGTTGGTTTGGAAGCTGGTCACGAGAGTTTCGTGAAAAAAAAGCTGGAGCTCCGGGAAAGAAACATGCGCTGTCCATTGTCGAGGAGCTGCCGTCGACCTTCTGGAGGCGGACTTGCAAGACCAGCAGTTGAGGACGGCGTTAGATCAACTCGCAGCTCGGTTGCCAGAGCGGGACGAGAAGACTCCGAGAAGGCCAGCAACCAGGCAAAAGACGCAGGAAGTGCCTGGCTAGTGCGTAGCTGCAGCGTCAAACGATCATGCATTTTGGCCCGATTCCAGCATAGCGGATGGCAGCGAGTGGCCACATGCGCTCTCACTAGGCACTCGTCAAGACGCAGTTCTCCAGGGAGGCAGATTACAGAAGCAACTACATGGCGACGTTGCGCGGGCGCTTTGGAGATGGCGAGTCTGCTGGGCAATGGCTGGAGAGGTTTGGCACGTCGGTGAAGCACGGAGGGTTTTGGCGCGTTCGTGAGCTCCGGGCGACCGTTTTCTGAGCATCTTTGATAGATGTGGACTTTAGATGCTCACGCCAAATCATCGTGAGGAGCGCTACTGGGAATTCGAGCGCGCCGTCCTTGGCAGATTTCTGCCGATGGATTTGCGAGTCTTTACAATCTGAATGCGCGGATTCTATGATGTGTGATGTATAGGATGGTGATAGCGATGCTGCGCGGGTTGAATGAGTGCACTGCCATGGAAAGGCATTGTGCACAAGCTCTTCGAAAAAGGGCCGGCCCCAACAGAAGCTAAGATTTGAAGACTTGTCTGGCCCTAGCATGTTGAAGTGAATCCCTGCGTGAGCCCGAGCTCTGTTCCGTCGAAAAGTTGCGTTTGATCTTGGGATTGGCACAGTTGGAATGGCTGGATTTGAAAACATCTGATGTGTGTTTTGGAGCGTCCCCAGCCAAGTCTGCCCAGGTTAGGGACTCTGCTTTCCTTTTGCGTTCACGTTGATGTTTAGTTTTTTTCTGGAAATGATTTCAGTGGGCACATGTCGGGTGAACTGGTAATGGCTGATGTTTGTGCAGGTAACGCTGCAGTCATGGCTTTGAGTTGCTAGCTGGCAGTGTCCGCATCAACGATTTACACAATATACAACTCTGCAGGACATGCAGCCCTAAAGATCCAAGATGTCACTTCAGAGGGGCAACCATGATCCTAATTCTGTTAGACACATGCGCTGAACTGGACCCGCTTGCTTAGCTCCTGGCAATTGCGAATCTGACCCTTTTTCTCAAGCTCTACAAGCCAATGCTCAAGACATCCACATCTGCTATTGAAAGCCATGAGCACAGCCTAGCACAGCTGGGCCTCAGAGTCGAGGGGCGTCCGAGTTGCCTGTGACAGCATCTCGGAGCTTGCCGTCCTGTGCCGCGATGACCTCCTTCCGTTCGAGCAGGCCTTGATGCTGACTTCATACTCACAGGCATGAACACACACATCGAAATCAACCTCAATCTGAGGCTCCGTACTGCAAGCTTCTGTGAGTTGGGCTCTTGCGCTCCATCCGCATGACTGGCGTCGGCCCCGGCAACCTGCGTAGCATTGCCAAAAGCCCAAGCCGCCCAAGCAGGATGTAGCAGACTGCGGGAAACTCAAGTCATGCACACTGCTGTGGTGCTACAATTTGGAGGAACATGACCAAACAGCTGAAGAAGTATGTCACGCCCTTGCAGGCGCTTTGCCGGGTTTTTGCTCAAATCCCGTTCTCTCTGAGAGAGTCTTGTCGGCTTGCTGCTGCAGCAGGAACTCTGCTCACTGTCACCATTCAGATCCACACTCCTTTTGGCTTTTTATCTCTTTGGTCTGTCTCTCAGAGGCTATCTCAGTAGCGTTTACCGGCAGCATAGCGAATCGGACTTGTCAGCACCAAGCTATGGCTCACAACCCTGCTCATGCCTTTGTATCGGAGTTCCGCTCTGGCGTCACAACCTGCACCACGCGACTAAACTAAATGTCAAAGACGTAGTCCAGCGGCGCTCAAACGTTAATTTCCGTGCTACCCCCTACCTGCCTCACAGCGAGAAGTGACTTGCAAGGCTCGGTGTGCTGCCGAGGCTCTAGTTTAGGTGGTTCCGGTCGCGAAGGCTTTTCCAGAGGACGTGCCTCGGTGTACCGTTGTCTGTTCACTTGCGAGAAGCCTCTTAGCCATCCAGCTCTGCTGTGAAGCACACCCCTACTCCAACATACTCCGACGTTGCTTGGATTATCCCGACACGCCGGCATCTTGGCCGCGCACATCACGGCCATCCGTGCGGTCCTGCATCCATGCAGACAAGCAACATGCTTGTGTTTCATTCTAGCGTATGAGCAACCCCAAAACGGCTTGCAGCCTTAGACTTGGACAATTGTCGCCGGGAAGGCTCCAAGCTCTCCTGACGCTTGCTGCAGCACAAAAGTTCTCAGGTATCACACGGCACGCCTACGTCCGTAGTGGCTGTTGACTATTAAAGCCTATCATGCAATCCCACTTCCCGCTGCCCTTCAATGGGGCATCCGCTGAGTAAGAAGCTGATGCTCGGGATTGCTCGGATTAGGCCAGGAAGCTGGTTGCGTCGACGGCGGGGAACTTTTCGAAGTGGGTGAATCGGGCAGAAAGCCCTCCTGGACAAATCGCTGACTTTGCGGGGTAGCTCAAGTTCATCACAGCCATTTGGAGCCTTGTCCTCGCTAGCAAGCCGCCTTCTTATCAGCGATCCAGTCTGCAGGTGCCAGGGCACGTGCAACACTTTCAAGGGAGCAAAATTTGTCATTGATGACCGTGTGCCTCTAGCGGGGTGTCAGCGGAATATGCTCGAGCCTCGCTGGTTCTTCCCTGGCTCGGGATTGGCGCAGCACAGGCTTCGACAAATCGCAACAACAGCTGTTTTCAAACAGGTTCGACACCTTGCTTGGCTTGGGGCTGCTCCGCCCGCTTGCAGGCGTGGCCATGTCTTCTGGGGGCTCCTGCAGGCAGTGTGACATTGGTTGTGAAACCTGGTCCCCACACCAATCAGACTCTTGCACCGGTCCAAATGATGTTACCATGCACCAGCTCCTGTGTTGTTGCAGCGGTGGTCTGCTTACCTGATGTGAGCAGCAGCAAGCTTCGTGAACGGATGGCGTGCCATCCAGTGTCCTGCATCTGGCTCGTCAACCTTCTGTCCAAAGAAGCTGCAGAACTCCTGCAAGTCCACCGCAGCAATACTGCAAACTCCAGACTTATGAATCTATGGAAACAAGCGCTCCTTGAAGCTCAAGCGACCATCCTGGCGACAGCAAACACCAGAATGAGCTGGAAACGGCAGAGAAGCTTGGCAACTAGTACTTCGTGCTCAAAACCCTTCTGTCCTTCTTGACTTCGTCCGGAAAGTGGCCACGAGAGTCTGACACAAGAGGTCGCAGGTCCTCCGCAGCAGCAGCACCACCACACCATGCTACTGGGCCTTGTGCTTGCAACTTGTGCCTTCAGAAAAAGCTGCAAAGCTTGACGCGGGCAACCTCCAGCTGACATCGGCAAAGCTGCACAAGATGCATGCAATTAACAAGCAGACCTCGATCTCCGGCGCAGAGGGCGTGAAACTCCTGCTTTAAGACACCAAGCAGTGCCCCAACGGACTCCGGGCAAGAACACAACAGTCAGGAAAAATCAGGAAACCATCTCCTGAGAAAGCAGATCGTGAAGATCTTGAGTTGAGGCCAGAAGACAGGCAGCGCAAAACTCTAGATATTGAATGGAGCCATCACGGTTTTGATCCAGGGCGTCCACAAGGGTCTTGGCCACATCTTTCTGGATTCCCAGCATATGCATAGCATTGAATACCTCGTCAGCCCAGCATGTGAAAGCTATAGAACATTAACTCGTCTCAGTCAGTTGTACACCGCAGATGTGCCACTGAAGCACCTCACTCCTCTCCAGCATGCCATTATCATCAGCATCAAGTTTGCAGAAGGCCTCACAAGGCCCCCGCCCGCGTCTAAGACCACAAGCAAAAACAACAACAAGGGCTCCACAAAGTCCCAAGCCTCAGCGAAGCGGTCGACAAAGGCGCATGTGGAAGCCATCTTGAGGAAGAGCGCCTTGCAGATTGGGATTAAGTAAGCTTCAGGATCTCTTTCTTTCTTTCATTCTGGCTCTGAAGAGAGCTGGAGGCCCTCCCCCGGGCTTCAATGCCCAGCCCGTGTTGGGCTGCTAGGTAGGTTCACCCCTCATGCTTCCTAGGGCATTACCTGGAAGCTAGCTAGCTTGCCCTGCCAGATCCAACATTTCAGTTGCGGGACAGGAGCAGACCTCTCTCTCTAGTTCCGGCGACGAAAGACGGCTCGAGTCAGAAATCAGAAATCTATGTAGAAGCTTCAGGCCAATGCAGCCACTTTGCAGCCCACTTAGCACCCTTTTTCAGACTTCCCATGGCTTTCCCTCAAGGGCCAGGGAGTCTTGGTTCTGGTGTGCGGTCTCACACATTCCCAGCAATTTCCGGCTTGCGTCAGGTCATGTCAGGTGGCTTCTCACATGTTGCCGAGACAATCCCGCACTAAAGGTGAGGTCACGAACCCTGCTTCTAACATGAAATGTCAAGTATGCTATCGTAAGCGAATTCGTCTGAAGAAGTTTGAAGCTTTTGACTTGGTCACCGACTTTCCCACACAGACTGGTGCTCGCCCAGCGCGTTAGCGCCGTACCTAACTACCAATTCGTGCAGGAATTGCAGGACAAACACGTGAAGGGCATCTCTTTAGCCACTCGCAAGTGCCGCAGGGGGTGCGCAAGAATGTCTTCTCCTCCGGCCCAAGATCGGTCTTCTTCTGCTTGATCCAGGAATGCCTTAGCAGGTGTGGGCTTCCTCGAAAAGCCATGTCTCAACAAAAGGTGCTCTGGTCCTACAATAACCAAAATCATCCTGAATCACTGAAGATCACGTCGAGAGGCTTAAGACACTCCGCTGCAGAGGGACGACCCACTTCCCTTCAGGCAGTCACATCTGCTTCAGAGATCTTTGACCTACAACATGCTCAAGTGATTGCTAGCATCGCCTGAAACTCAGCAGCTTTTGACACAGGTCTTTCGCCGTCGCGCTGCATCCTCAGCGAAAAGCTGCACTGGTACCACCAGATGTCGTTGCAAGTATAGCAAACTGGAGCAAGGTTGCATCATGAGGCAGTCGCCCTGCTTCGCCAACTACGAGGTGGTGGTTTGGCTACGCACTCAACATAAAATCTAGCAGATGATGTAGAATGGAAGAGAGGCTCTCTACTCTCTACCTATGCTCAGCGAGAAGCAGAATTGGGTCACGGGAGAGATGTCCTTCACTTTACGGATTACGTTGTGCAGGAAAGCTCCTTGGGTGCGCTATGCCAATCCAGCCCCTTCTGACGACAAGGAGTGTGGCCAGTGAGGAGCATGAAAAGGTGAAATTCCCGAGCTGAGGAGTTGTCGAAGACGCTCCCATTTTGGACCCTGCTTGTGCATCTGGAGCCAAGCTTCCTGCCAAGGCAGAACGCTCGCGGGCACGCTCACATCTGCTAGGAAAAGCGAGTGATGACAAGACTGCCTGATGCGCATCGGCATCTGCCATACTTCCCGACAAGTGGAACGGCAAGGCGTTTGCAAACATCTCGAACATAACGCATCCCATGCTCCATCTCAGCTGCCATTGACTTGAAAAAAAACTAAGTGGAGATGTCATCAGCGCCTGGGGCGCAGGCATGTCGGACTTTGCACTAACATTTCCCTGCAGGCACTCTGGAGACATTGTCGCTGGAGTCCCAGCAACCCTTGGCTTTGGCGCTACGACACCATCAGCTGTATCAACTGTGCACAGTCGAAAACAGTCCACGAAAAGACTCCTGGTGCATGATGAAAACCCAATGCCATAGCAGGTCCTTTCTTGAAAGTATAAGTAGCGGGTGCTGACGTGAGATTATCACACTTTCTGTGGCTTGTCCATGGCCTTGTGCCTGGAATATGTGATAATTTAGTGCGCACGTTGGCGGGCAAGCAAGGATACTCAACAAGAAAAACTGTGCTCAATGCATCTGGGAGCTTTGAACCGCGGGCCACAAAAGGGCTGGACAGCCCTCGAACGCAGATTTCAGCAGTCCCAAAGTCGCTTACCACGACCTCAGCTTGCTGGCTTCTCTTCTTCAAAGTCTCGTGAAGCAAGCTGTACAGCTACAGTTTAGTTGAGTCCAAGCCGCATGAGGGGACCGACCAAAAGCTCGACCATCATCTGATACCTAGGCGGCGTTCTCTCCTCTACGCCAAAAGTTGCCGAGGCCGTCTCAGCCTAACGTTTTAGCCTAACGTTTCAAACAGATATATGGCAAAGGCCACAATGCCCCCACAGCCCCTAGAGAGCAAACAATACAAACTCGTTTCGATTGCTGAGTGGGCTGTGCCTAGAACGTTGCATCGCTTCACTGGATGCGGAGATGTGCCACAAGGTTGCTATGCTCCGCAAAAGCAGCAGATTCTCAACCTTCAGATCCTTGTGTACGATGCCCTTGTTGTGCAGGTAGACGAGAGCCTCACCGAACACTAGCATATCAGAAGCTTCAGCCGAAAACACGGGTTGGCCTGAAAGGGCTGGCGGAGCGCACAAGCAGCCCACGGCTCCTTTTGTGCGCAGCTGCTGACCAGCACGAGCAGAACTAATCAACAAGCGGCACATTGGTCCTCCAATGCCGCTCCGGTCGCTCTCCCCTTGCGTATGGCACTGAGAAGCTCACCGCCCTCACAGAACTGGAAGATAAGCGTCGCCTGATGCAGGGTCCACAGGTGTCGCTCAATCTCTCCGCCCTTGCCTTGCACTCTGGCCTGATCCCCGTTCTCAAACCATTCAAAAAGTCTGAGGATATGCCTGAGAGCCAGTGCAACTTGAAACAGCCTAAACAACACCACTCTTTGCCGGAGGGGGCACGGATGATCCGAGTTCTGCATCACAAGGCCTCTGCAGGAGAGGGGCAGAAGGTCTTGGATGGGTGGTTCTGCGCTGGGGAATTGTGGCGCCCTAAAGCCAATGATGTTCGCATGTTCTGGCCTTGTCCAAACCTACCGAACCAGCCGAGAGGTTTCGGCCTATTCCAGCGCACATCCTTGCCCCAACTGCGATCTCTTCTTCACCACTGCGTCAGCCACGCATACGACATACAGGCATTTGATTTGATGAATCTGCTGACATCGATTTGGCTAGGAGTTAAGGGCGCTCCTTCGTCTTGCCTTCTTTGAGTGATTGGCTATAAGTTGGGCCCATGGCACTTGACCAGCGATCAAATCTGCTGTGACTCGCCTTGCTGTGTTCTTGCGGTCTTGGCTTGCCGGGGGTATGTATGCCTGTGTTCTTCCAGCCCCCTTGCAGAGGCTGGGGCCCCAGCATTGTCTAAGACACGCAACCGGGGTCTAAGACACCGAAAGAAAGTCTTAGACACGCAGGCTGTATGCAGTTACAAGAAGGAAGCTTGTCTAAGACACCAGACGAATGTCTTAGACGCCGACGGCGAGTCTAAGACCAGCAGCATGGGTCTTAGACACCGGATCAACAATGGGAGCAGAGCTCGCGGTCTTTCCAGGGTGCCGCACGGCAATAAAGCTTGGCAACTACTGAGCTTCAGGTTTTGGATTATTGGAATGACCCACAGGTTTAGAGGCAACACTTCAGACTTAAGAATTGAGATCTGAGGGCTCATGGTTAACCCGGGCAAGATGGCCAATTCCAAGTCCAAACCCACGACAATGGAAGCCTTTTGCATCATGAGCGTGACTGCATGTGACTGCTATGCTTTGTGAACGTGTTCATGTCAGTCCGTCCGACCATGATGCAGATGTGTGCGAGCTTCATGGGCAAGTGCATATGCTGGGCACAAACTGCTGCGCAGCTGCCGCGATGCTCATATCAGACCGTCACCGGTTGAGGCAGCCAGCCGTGGATATCAGTCAAACAAACCTTTCGCTGGCCCCCTCCCCGCAGCCAGCTCATCGAGGCAGCCACTGCCCTGCGCCGGTGCCACGCCTTCCCTTGTCTATATCCTTCTTAAATCCTTCGCGATACGCAGAATTGTTCTTGGGACTTCTTGCTGCTAGTAATCCCCAGTGCTATCCGCACTTAAGGTTCACTCGTGACTGCAATCCTGAATTATTTTCTCCCTCGGTTTTGTACCATGTGAGCCTTCCTGCTCTCGTTGAGGTCCGGCTGGGTCTATTTCTCGTTTCCTTCTTCAACCCACTCGCAGATGCCAATCATGAAGGGGCCACCGTTCGCTGCCCCATTGGATTGTTGATGCCAGAGGACACGGGCTTCAATGATTCAACATCAACGTATATCAGCGTCACCTATGGCCTATGCCCCGTACATACACTAAACCCAGGAATGTGCAGCCCTGTCTTGAAAGCACACTGCCTGTCCACACCAGAACTACATGCGGTGATGTGCTGGTTTGTCACTGGACTTCGCTGGCCGAAACCCGAGCCTTCCATGCGAAATCGCTCACGCCCCCATCCCTCAGGCCTGCTGAAGCTGCGACTCAAGGCACAACCGATAACTTCGAGAAAACGCAGTGGCCTGGTAATGCATTTCGAGGCCTGCGCCGGGACATCTGCGTCGTATCACGCTCAGTGACTGATGTGGTACAACTGCCCCAAAAAAGCGGAGTGGCAGCATGGCCTTCTTCTGTTGCGTAGATTTCTCGTAGACAAGATAAACTGATCCATATGAACCTCGACAGCCATGAGGCCACATGCGATGCCCATCTATGATCTTCAGGTGGCAAGCAGCAGGAGCCTGCCTTGTCCCAGTAATTGGCGGGTGTCATACTTGCGATCAATCTCATAATGACCTCGGTCTTTAGAATGTGTCAGTCCAGAAACCTCCTACAGCTCAGGTAGCTTACCTTCAGATCGTCAAGATGCTCAATTCGTGCACTAGTTGGCTGCGAAAGTTTGGAGGAACTTCTCCCACGTGCTCACGACCCTGTGCAGGTGCTGGCAGCCGGAAAGAGCTCCTGGCAATTGTGAAGCATTTCGGGCTCATGGAAAAGTCCTTGTCGAACATCACCCGGCTCAGCCTCCGAAACCACGGCATGCTCCAGTCATTTAAGGGCCTGCAGCGATGCTGAAAAAGTATCAACAAGCAGCCGTACTACATCTGCATAAGAACTTACCAGACTCTGAGTAGCTCACCTGTGCCCTGAGACTGGGCATGTTTGCTTTCCAGGCAGTGCCTAGAAAACATGAGACTGCCCTTGAGCCTCCATAGCAAGCAAATGAGCAGCACGGGTGCTCACTGCTCATTTTCATTCACTCAGCGGCATCAGCAAGAAACGATGACTTCTGCATGTGAGGCCTCGCCTATGATTTCTTGTCCTTCCGAGCATACTCCACTCTGAGAGCTTGCCTACTGGTCTGCTTGCAGGAAACCTGTGCGATGTTCGCACCGTCACGACGGGCGAGCTGTTTTTGCTACGAGCCCAACCGCGAAACTGCATGCTTGTGTAGCGACGCGCATTGTGGCTTGCTAGCCAGTTGATGAGCACAAACCTAAACTGCAATGCCCAGCTTGCGCTCCAACTGGCTCCTTCAGGGGGATGCAATAATAGGACAAGTGATCTCTGTTCATCCTGCCTCTTGTGGTCGTCCATAGAGCGCTTCTGTCGGTCAATGTGCTCAGCTTTGATGATGTCAACGTTGTCACCCTGGTCAGGCATGAGTGACAGTGATTAACACGCTTGGGTGACCTTCTCCCCTTGAAAACTTTCCAAACCTACGCTGCCAAGCCCTTGGCTCGAGCTGGGGGTGGTCTCAGCGTGTCCAAGTTCGGTGGAGGCTCGTTGTGCAATATCCAATGCCAAAGCGCCTGTGTCATTCGTGACATAAGCGTGGACTGCACTGGGAGGCCTGAAGGTGACAGAAATTGGCGGTCCTCGCTCTGCATCAGCACCTCAGGCATTTTGTGAGCCCAGGCCGGTTTGCAAAGTACGCTGCCAAGCGCTGCCAAGTAGTACTCGCTTGAGCTTCCCACTTGCGTCCGCTGTTGCATTCGCAGAGTCTTGGACTCCCCCTGCTTCGCCTGAACAGACCAATACATCAGCCATATTGCAAGGTGCCCAGTCGCCAGCCGCCCACAGCAAACTCCACCGTCCTGCCTCCGCTAGACAGAGCTTGGAGAGACCGAAGGTCGTCACGCTCAGGTACTCCAGCTGCCGGTGTATGGTGTCCTAGAAACAATGATTGAATGAGATCCCTTTATTGGCAAGATCAAAAGCAAGGAGACCGAAGCGTCCTGGAGCTTTGCTAGCTCGTCCGCATCAATTCGATTTGCCTCAGCTGTCACGTCTTTGAGATCTTCTCAAGACGAAGTCCAAGCCGCCTTGAGCTGGTACATTTCGACCAGGTCGGCCTGTCAGGGATGCCACAGCAAGTGGCAGCACGCAAGCATCAGCATCACCAGCACATGAACTCTCCACGCCCACCTTATCAGCCTTCAGAGCTACTTTGTGATTCAGGTCCTGGCCCGCTGCATTGCTGCATCAGGTGGCTCCAGCTCTCCAACACTCCATGAATTCCATGCCGCCCTTTCCCTTCCTCAAACATTGGGCCATAGTCAGGAGGCCGGAATTCGTCCAGCCGCTTGCTTTCTTGCTCGATATATTCCTCAAACCTGCAGCAGGAAAAACTGCTAAGACCTGCAACAAGTCGTTATATCCTTACGAATGGCGGCAGCCTTTTGTTGAATCTATCCAGCTTGTCATACATCCCATGAAACTCTTTCATGGCGGCTTCCTGTCACAGGATGTGTTGGGCAGAAGCTGAAAGGCTATAGCTTGCCAAGCCTTTTGGATGCACTGCTCGATTCGCGAGTTGATGATGACGATGTCGTACTTACCAGCCTGGGTTTTGCATGTCAACCGAGCTTGCCCCTTGCACCACCGCCCAGCCTTATCCAACAGGACTTCATCCACGCGCTGAATGGCATCATCCTGCTTGCAGCAGCGTAGGGCAGGGCAATGCAGCGCAGCATTGTTCAGCTTTCTAAAGCTGCACTCACAACTACTTGGAACATGCTTGGAGTTGGTGTCCTGTGCCCTTAATCTTTGATCAAAGGCTTTGATGGAGTCCACACAGAACTTCAGCTTGGGCACGCAATCCTCAGATCGCTAAACATTCGGTGGCAGCCGGCAGTCAGCAGGAAGTTCCAGGGCGGTCCTGTTGAAAAGCATCAGTTTCGGCTCGCAGCGCGTATTTCCTAGCAGTTTGCAACTGGTTGTGGGAGTTCCTGCCCACGTTAAGAACAGCATGATACCAACACTCTCAGCTCACGACTTCAGGCTGTTCTTCGTCTCTTGCAGGTCATCATACATGGCCTGAGCAGATGAGACATATCCTGCTGACAACATCCCCGTCAAAGCACGAAAGATAGGAGACTGGCCCGCTGCTGAAGGTCATTGGCTAACTCCGAGTACATTGATGTAATGCGGTCAGACAAACCTCAAATGATGGTACTCTCGCGGCAAGCGCTTCAGACTTCAGCACGCTGGCCTCGCAATTGGTCATTGTTGGATGCATACACCCGATCGAACCTCCGCGAAGATTGTTCATTGACAGCATGCTAAGTTATGGGCGTGTGCAATGTAAGTGCCGCGCACTAACGATTGCTCTTTTATGTGGACCGCCAGCTCTTCTATCTGCAGCAGATGTTAGCCAGCCAAAGTCAATCGAATGGGCAGAAGTCCCGCACCCGCATTGTTGTCTGGGCAACTTTGGCATAGTTCTGCAGCTCATCGCCAACCCAGTCCCGAACTTCCTCTTCTGAGCTTGAAATCAAGCGGTGCAGAGACATGGATGCGAAATGGCTGCAAGCCATTAACATTGTATTTGCCATCCTGTAGCTGCTGCTCCAGCTTGGCTGTCCGAGTGTAGTCGTCAAAGCGGGTTGACAAGACCTAGCATTCAAGGGCATGCATCCTGCCGTCCCTCAATCTCATGCCGAGCTTTGGGCCTTCATGTTTTCAGCTATTCGCTCCGCAACATCCAGGGTGGCATAGTCACTGCAAACACATGTGCTGCTTTGAAAAGGCTGCATACTTACAGCACCTCTGGCACCTACAGCTCTCTTCCAGCTGGCCTCAAGGCGTTGAGGATTTGCTGGTGCTCCAACTTTGTAGTGTACCCGGCAAACTTCGCCTGATCTCTCTGCTGCATCATGCTTAACATCACAGAAACCAGCTGCCCCATGCTGGCCCCGGATAGCCCTGAATGGATTGGCCGACTAGCGCCACAGTCTACAAACCAGGGAGCTCTCGCGGCACGCTTCAACATAAAACCCATGCCACGCCTCAAACATGTTCAGCTCGGCCAAGGACACTTTGTCAAGAAGGGCATCCTGCGTCTCGCGAATCAGGCGGTCCTGCACCGCCTTCTCCTGCAGCGGGGCGGGACGCATCCGCAACACTCAAGCTCGCAGTTGCTGCGCAGGACTTGGTGACTTGGGATCCTTGACGACAGTGTCCAGCTTTTTCTCTAGCTGGGTCTGGCTGCCCTGACAAAGTGCTTCATGCGCACACTCTTGACATGTCATTGCGACTGTTCGCCTTGAGTCTGTCGATGGCTTCCTCTGAAGAAGTCACATTCTCCTGCGATGCGATGCGCAATCCATGTGGCATGCTGTTCCATGTTAGCAATCACAGTTCGGGCGCTCCTTCGTCAGATATAGCGCTTCTTGTTGCTGCTCAATACGCTGATTGAGCTCCGACACCACCTAGCACAGGCAGACTTTTGCCTGACTCTGCAAATGCATCACATCCGCAAGCTGCGCGCACTCCGGTCAAAGCCTCGTCTAGGCCAGTGATCGTTGCGCGCAACTGGCAGCAGCAGAATTTTATTGCAAGATTCGGGACAAGGGCACAGTTGAATTGATTTGCGATTGCTAGAGCACACTCAGCACCTCGATTTCGCCTTTGAGACTCTTGATGGTGGCATCATTGCTTTCGTTGTATGCCCTAAGCCGAAGTGTTGGTGCTGGAGTCTTGGAGTTGTCAACGCCGACAGCAGACAGCAGACTCTTAGATGCTGGCTCCAGCGATTTGAACTTGCGGATGATGTGCCTCCCACAATCTCCGGCTCTTTCCAAACCCCCTAAACCCCCACCAGCAGCGTGACCACAGTATTCATAAAGCAAACCAGGGTAAACAGTGGCTGCCAAAAAACCCTGGCAAATTTGCGAAGGGATCATGACCGAGGCAAAGCCCCACCGAGACCAAGCAGCTGACTTGACGACATGTTCCAAGTTGGAGAAGGAGATCAGCGAGCCGAGCTCCTCCAGGTCGTCCTTCGGGCGGAGAAAAGCTGCAAGGGAGGCTCATTACTCATGATGCAATGTCCCCGAATGTCGCCGCGTCCACCGTCCACAGGCACAACAAAAAACTTGCGCAGTGGCGACCGAACCAGCAGCAGCGACACCACCACCGCCCCCGCCCCCGCCGCCTCCACCCCCCCACCCTCAACCACCCCCACCCCCCCCCACCCCCGCCACCCTCGCCACCCCCACCACCCGCACCACCCCCACCACCCGCGCCACCCCCGCCCCCACCACGACCACCACCACCACCACCACCACCACCACCACCAACACCACCAACACCACCACCACCACCACCAAACGCAGGCATAATGCCTGCTTTGCTGCTTGTTGCATTTGGGCATGCCAGCACATGCTTCACGTTTTCGAGTCTCGCCTTCCAAAGAGAGATGGCCCCTGAAACACGACACTCACGCCCAACTAAGGGCAGGGTGGGCTGCTAGGCGCTTTCCGTGCTGGCCGCCCCTGATGGCATGGTAGTGGTCTACGTCCACAAAATACAGGCAGGAATTAGAACACCGATTCACGGCATGTAATGATGCTTGAAACATGTGAGAGACGTCAACATTTACAACTTAAAACTACAACGATGACAGTGGCCACAACGAAGTGATGATCAGAGGTCATCTCGCTCCTCGGTCTCGCCTTCATCTTCATCCAGGAAGCCTGTGTGACGAATCTCATTACCAGATACATCTGCCCGTTCGAGAACTTGCGCCTACATCTGCCATCAAGGGATGCGTTGGACAGTTCCGACAGAAGATGTTCACTAAATGATGCGTATGAAGTCAGCTTTCGAGTTGCCTAGCTCTTAATTAAATTGCCTCAGCGCTGAATGAATCTGTGTCAAATGGGCAGTCTTAGTTCACTCATGTCGTGTCATGAATGCTCTGGAGCCACAGGGCGGCTACCAAATTCCTCCACTTCATGACAGCGTGGACTGCATCAACAAAATTGAGGGACCTGCCGCTGCTTTTTGCCACGCAGCCCCATCAAGCAGTCACCAGTCACCGGTCATCTCTCGCGTACTTGGATTTTGCAGCTTCATAAATTTCTAGGGCTGGCTCTAACTCTGACATTCTCAACTTAACGTTGTTCAGAGGCTGGAGAAATGATTTTTGTGATCAGGAAGGGCTGTGGCAGGCCGGAATCATCTCAGAACCTCAGGCATCACAAGTCTCTGGGGAAGAAAATTGCCGCAGCTTGCGGAAAGACTCTGCCAAGTCACTGAAGTCCACCACTGCGGGCTGCCTCCGCGACAGCCTTCCGAATGTTCACTCACCCTGTGAACATCCTACCATGTAAATAGCTGGTCGCGTTCAACTAAGGCAAATCTTGTGATTGTTGACGCCTTGACACGACCTTCGTAGGGAAAGCCAGCACGGTCGAAAACGACCATAGTGATGCCTTTCTCCAAGCCTGCCAGGGCCCCCTGGGCTTTAGGACTTTTCTCAATCCTTGCTTGTAAAGTTCACACATAGAGCTCAAAGACCCCCACTCGCTTCAGTGTCTATTTTGAGCGGTGTTCAGCTATCTTTACTACTTCTCCCTGAGCTTTCTACCATGGCAAAAACACGTCAGCCGAAGCATGGAGTGGGGCTGTTGCGGCCATCTCACAAGCAGCATACGTTTGGTCTTTCCACATCTCAGAGGACTGAGGCCTGAAACCCTCTTAGTGGCAGTGACGAGAAATTCTGAGGCTGATTCTTAAATTGGCCCATGGTGCTACGAGTGGATGAGTTGCTTCAATGCCGCTACCTCTCATGGCACCCTCCCAGCGGGAAGACGCTGTCCATGCCGAATAGCGTTTAACGCCATCATGAATGGATGAAAGTAGTGGCCACAGATGTTCGCCGGGGTTGTTAGTGTATTCAAAGCCGTGTAGCTTTCGGCAGCTTCATGCTAGCTGGTTGCTATGGCGGCTACAAACACCGCTTGCTGCGAGCCCAGTTTGCCTACTCGTAGCGATGCTAAGCTGGCTTGGGTGCAGTTGGAAAGGCACAGCACAGCGGGCCAAAGAGCATTGTAAGCCGCGATTGCAATCCTACTGTAGAATTCAGGTTGCTCAGAGAAGTTCTTGCTTTTGCAGATGATTGTCTCCAGGCCGCGCAATCTGATCGATCAGCGCTTGTCAACACGAACACACACGTCACCAGCTGCAAGTTTCTCCGTTTCGGGGAGCACGCATCTCCGACGTCGAGGAACGTATAGCATGGAGAGGAGCAACCACACAAGTGCGAAACTAAGGCTTGTAGAACCATGTCCTACTGCACGATGGCAAGCCATCAAAGCGTGAAGATGACACAGCTAGAACTGTGGGGCGGGCATTGCTTCGCAACTTCAGCTCCTGTCAAAAACATGCATGGATGAAGGTCACTCTTTTCAGCACTGATCAGCGGTCCTACAATTTCTGCTGCGTCCATAGACCAGGTCTTCTCGCTTCCAGCATCACATCCTGGCCGCTGCCATTGGGCAGGTGCAGTTTCAAGGCAAGGTGCTTGGATCAGCCTTGTTTGGCGCGAATCTGCTCCAGCGAGCCGGCCTGCTTTGAAGTCACCTTGCGCTGCAGCTCTGGGTGCAGGTAGCGACAATCCCCACTCCTATTCGTCAGCAGTCCAGATAGCTATCACAGCCTGGATCATGGTGACACCAGTGCCAATTGTGTCGTCAATGACACTAGCATGCCTCAAAGCGCTCACGACAACACGTCTGTTCTTTGCACTCAATAGGCTCTAACACCCTTCCACTCAGTTCTTTGCATGTGCATCTGAGACCGGAAGACTGCCAGTCTCGGCCGTGCCGTCGTGCCTTCGACCTGCAGAGCACAACAATCTCTCCACCAGTCTCCAGATTCGATTCGGTCAAACCATCGGAAACGCAAGCCTTCCGGCGGATGTGGATTCGCCTCCTGTATCGGTGGACCCTGAGCAGCACGTACGCTTGTCCACACCCTAGCAGCAGCAGAAATTCAGAGCCGTTGATTTGTTGTGCTTGGGTCGCAGCCATCGGATGCGCTCCGTCCAGGTGTGTGGAGAGCCATTCCAGCCGGGACCACCTTCAACATGCAGCATGCGCAGCATTCTCCCGAAGAGTTCTTCAGCTAGACACCGAGCCTTTGATACGATATCCGAGGCGTTCGTGGCTCCAGTCTGTTGGCTTGTTAGGCTTTCGTCCTCGGCTACACAGGCTGCATTGCGACATTGCGCCTCGCCAGAAATCGTCCCGGGCCCATGACGTCCCCACTTTGCTCCACAAGTAATTCTGGACACCACCACTGGCAAGGTCAAAGCAGCGCCTGAGTGACCAAGCAAGGCACAGTCACAAAAAGCTGCAACCGAGGCCATTTTGGATGCCTAGGTTCCGAGCACAGGCCGAGAAAACCAAAGCGGCTTCTGGCCTCGAGATCTTGAATCCTTGCTACACTCCGTAGAATCTCAACCGCCAGACAAGCTGCCTGAGGCTCCTTGAAAGCCTGCAAGACTGAGGCTGTATTCAGCTGATTGGGGGTCACTTGCCAAGCCTGTTTGGGAACAACCTGCTGAACTGGCCGCTGCATCCATCTGTCTGCAACAGACCTGGGGCATTGATCGCATGCAAGCTCAGGACCCAAAACGCTGCGAGAGACCCAGGCACGCACTGTGAAGGCGCATACAGGCTCGGCGCCAGGAAAGCTGGACTTGGTAGTGCCGGCACTCAATTAACAAGGTGGTGGTCCCTCACGATAACATACTGTGGGCATGCTGAGAGTGCCACCCCATTTGATGACCTCACACCAGCTGGCATCCAACAACAAATCTTTCGCATCTTTTCAGACCGAGGCCAGCTCTAATGCATCTGACTGCTAGCAGCACGCTGGCAGCCCCGGCCTGGCACAAACAAAACCTAATTACCTAATTCCTGTTTTGGGACCGCTACACATGAGTTCCCGGCAAAGACGAGAGCCAAACGGGCCTGTTGACATTGCTTAGCCACTGCTTCAAGTGTTAGCATGTGCTATCTGAGGCAGTGGCCATGTCTAACCCACCCAACTCGAAAGGAAAGGAGGGATAGGTATGCCCCAGGGTCCCTGGAGCCTAAAGAAATGCCAAGCCGGGATGAGTTCCAACAATTTCGCCCTTGCACAGATGCCACGAGCGTGTGCAAGGAGCGCAGGGCAATTTTCCGGTTCTGCGATGGCACATTAGCTGCGAGCCCTTCTTGGGCACGTTGGACCTACTGTCACTGACTAGGGCTGGGCTGAGGCGGAAAACGATCGAAGGCCTGCTGAAGATGCAAGGAACTTTGCACGTGCAAAGCAAGAAGTCCACCAACATGGACAATGTATAGCTTGCCTGCCCAGGTGCACACAATATCTGCGGAGCGGAGTATACTCGACGCATCGCAACCTCGAATAGCTCGCCCGAAGAGCATTCGAGAGTGAACATATCATTCTAGGCTGGGTCTTGGACGGAAGTTGTACAGGGTAAGCCAGGAATAACGTGGGTGGCCTGCTGATCTCACCACTCAACGTTTGGCTAGATGAAAGATGTCGAAAGCTTCGGCCTCTCGGCCAAGGTGTCCAGCTGAGGCACTGAGCGCAGGTGATCCCTCAGGCTTTTCGGTGAAAGGTTCAGACTGCAGCCATATAATCGAGCCCAGGAATATGTTCTGTTAGCTCAGCATCTGACCCTGGCTGCCATTGAGGGTGCTGGCCTAGATAGACATCGAAGTGAGATCCACAGTGCCAAGATGATTGTAGCTGGTCTAGGGAGTCTAGGGCATCAGCACAACAAGCAAAGGAACGTACTGATGTGCGGGCAGAACCCGTCCTCCACGCCGTGTGATTGGCGAGTTTCGTCGGAACGCGTTCTAATTCCAAGTCCTCGTTGGTCTGGCAACGCGGCATGGGCCACTGGCTGAGCTGGTGGAGCCTGACATCAACAGAAAGTAGTCGGACGTCCAAGGGTAACTGCAACCTCTGTTTTGCGATGCTTCCCATGCCTAACAGCATATCAAACTCTCCTGCTTCATGCAGGGTACCATCCTGTCAAATTCCCGGTCAATCCATGCACGTCTGCCTGTGTGCAGCCGGGGGCCACAGGGATGAATCTCCCCGTGCCTCACAACAAGCGGAAGAGGGCTCTTTGTCAGCACTGTGGTAATACTACCCTGAGCAGAAAGCCCAACAGAACCCTGATCCTGTGATGGTGACCGCAATCATAACGCTGTCATGTCAACCTATCTGTCCTTGCGTAGGGGGGAACATAAACAGTATGGCACATTGATGTAGGATCCACGACATCTTACTGCGTCTTCAGCCTGTTCTGCGTCCACTTCCCAAGGTAGCTAGAGAGGCTGCTGACTTTGGAAAGTCATATCAGCAAAAGTTCTTAGAAAGGGTGTTGGGTTTGATAGCTCCAGCCGGTTAAAACTGCAAGCGCTTGAACTGCACAGCCAAGTCCACCCCTTACCCGTGCAAACTCTTTTGCCCAGGCTTCTTGTGCAAGCATGCATACTGCCGGACTTGTGCAACCATGTGGTGCTTTTCCAAAGGCTAACATCAAACTACGCACCAAAAGCAGCACCAACAAATTGCACGCGCCCATCGGGCTGCGTGAGTGCAGCGTTGTGCGGCATAGTTAGCCTTGCGCCAACAGCTTATTTAAGGCTTCTTCTGTCTTCTCAGCATCCAGGCCCACAGCATCTGATGTGTGCACAAAGTTTGAAGATGTGAGGCGCGGGTTCATCCGAAGCAGGTCCATATCATCAATCGCTATCCAGGCATGAACATGCTCAGACTTAGCAGCTCGCATTTCTAGCCAAAGCAGGATTTCATCCACCCTGTCGCCTTTAGCGACTTTCTCCAGGTCTGGCGTAGCACCATTAACAGATAGACCATACTGTAAAAACAGATTTTCCAGTTGATGTCTCTTGTGATCAACAAGTCGCCACGTCGAGGACAAGATGACCTTGCACTGAGTGTTATCCACGAGAAACTTCAGATTCTCCATGATTTCTGGAGGTGGCACATCACTTTCCGCAGCTTCTCGTGACATGCGGCTGTTAAGCACGCCATCTACATCCAGGAAAATCACTCGTGTTTGACCGGCCAACGCCGCCGTGGCCACTTTGATCAAGTCCTCTTCCTCCTCACTCTGCATGGAGGAGCCCAGCTTTGCCTCTGCACTTGGCGCGACTGCACTGACTCCACTTCTGAGTTCAGCGGTGCCTGTCATATCGCCCCCGAGCTTTGCAGGGAGTGGTGGCAACGGAGGAGGTGCTTTGCTTTGTATGTGACGTATCACTTCCTGCCTCTCCATGTCCGCTGTGCTATGAACAGCCCGGGAACCATAGACCGCAAGGCACGTTCTTGAGCTGAACACTGCCCGAGACAACGTGCGGGACTTTCATGCTCAGAGTCGCTTACAGAGATTCATGTAGGTGCCGTGCCATGGACAGCGTGCACAGGCGAAAGCTGCGTTGCCTGAGTTGAACAGGCAAGTTGGAACTGCCAGACAAGAATGGTGATGCGAGCACCTGGTGGGGGCTGTCCGGCCGCCGCACAGGTGTGCTAGACCTGGTCGCTGCTCGAGGACATTTCCGTCCGCATTCGAACCCCTACAACGAGTCCGCCACAGCGGTTGACTTCGAGGGATAGCACCACTAGCCTGTGCAGTCTGACATAATGTTGGGTTCTGCAGATCATCGGCGTGAAGCAACCCTTGCTTCCATTTCAGCTGCATCATGTTGTGCTCCCCTGAGTAAATGTGCATGTTTAAGCCCCAGGCCCTTCCCCAAGCCCATCTTGTTTTCCAACACTCACTCCTATTTAGATTTTTTTGGCGGTTGATGTGTGAGGATTTTTAGACGAACAGCAGGGGTCCCAACCATGTTCAGGGTCAGGTACAGCATGCCTTCAGGCGAGGAAGCATGAATCCTGAGGGCATGAAACAACAAGCCATTTCCCTGCAAGGGATTCAGTGCCCTGCGATTCTCTGTTCACCACAGTGACATGAAAAACATGACTACATCAGCTCCCCCGTATACACTGTCCAAATTTCCAGAGTACAGTACATACACTCCTGTATACATTAAGTCATTAAGTAGATGTGGATAGCAGCCCCGCTTGATGTAAGATGACTTGCGAAGCATACCATGGCTGTTCCCTGTTCTGCTTTGCAACTTGCCTCTGCTGCATGCACTCGCTCTTCCAACAGCCGACAATGCACCTCAGGCAGTGCTCAAGACTGACAAGCCTTGCCTTTCGTCACACTTGCGGGGGCGGTACGTCCAGCCGACGGCATTGCGATTCCAAGAACCGGCATTCGTCGAACCTGGCATTGTGCAAAACACGCCAAAACTCGCATTCATGCCCGGGTTTTGTGTGAAGCCAAGCCTGCGAAGGTATTCTTGCTGCATTGGCTCGAGTTGGGACTTCACGTCCTTGATCATTTAAAATGGATGTTCTTGACCAATCTGGTGCTGCAAAGAGCCTTGTAGATTTCTCCAACGCTCTCCAGCTGTTTACAGAGACTTTGAACCTGCAAGAGGATGCAAGAGATGACCGCGAAACACCCCCGAGGATGGACACGATAGGTGCCATGCCAACGCACGGGAATGCTGAATGCTGTCCAAAAGCACCTGGCCTGCTGAATCGCGAGGTGCAGCTTCTCTCCTTGGCCAAAACAGCTGATAGTGAAAAGATTCTAGCTTGGCTTGCGCCCCGGGACAGCAGCCTGGACAGGATGGATTCATGGTCATTCTGTCGCTGCCTTCTGTCAGAACAACTTAACGCCGAGAGCTTGGACCACGCGTGGCCTGAACTTCGCGGGCTGAGCTCTGGCATTTCTTGCATGTCTGGCCTTGGTTGATGTTTGTGTGAGACTGTTTTGGCAAGGCTGCTTGGTTCAAAGGATCCGGCGCTTCTACAATTCTGTGAAGCTGCATTCTGGACTTCATCCGTTGCAGCCGCGAACCTGCAAGGGAGTTTGTCAAAAAGACGGCGATCACCACTGCACAAAGCCAGTGACAGCATAGGGCTTCACGCCCAGCCTGCTACTGCCGAACTGGAGCTGCGCATCAAGGGTGCGGCAAGCCCTGCAACCGCCAAAGGAGACATGAGCTGCAGTCAATACGTCCTATATAGTCTAATGGACGTGGATTCCTTTTTGAGGACTATATCAAAGACGGTACTACGCTAGAAAAGGGACCCCAATGTCCATAGTTCAGGGTCCCCTCATAAGGCTAATAATAATATTGACAGCAGCTCACATGCTTTGCTCAAGGCTCCCAAACCAAGGCAACACCCCTCTATAGTCGCTTTCCAGCATGCGGTGATGGAGCAGCATTCGGGAAGCAGTAGCTGACTGGCTAGCCAGTACACTGTCCCGCGATAGGGCAGCATCCGGCTGACCAAACATGATACATGCATGGCAAAAGGCAAGCAAATGCTTGTTCTGCCTTTGAGCACCAACTTTGGACTTGAGCTCAGCTAGCAGTTTAACAGCACGACATTAGCAACGTAGGATACGGGAAGCACGCTAACTTGAAAGTAAAGCAGTCATGTGGCAGACCTTGTCCACGATCAGGCATGTTCTGCCCACTTGGCGAGAAGCCAGTTGACCTCACCCAGCATCCCATTCCATTGGCCTCTGAAAATCTCAACAGCAAGTGTACCCTTGCCAGGCTTTGCGCCGCGAATGATGCAAATGCGGCACCGAGGATGAGAAGCCCTGCTATCCAAAGAAGAGGAGCCAGGTTTGTTTGCCAAGCTGTGTACAGAAAACTGATTGTCATAAATCGCTGTGTTCAGTCCAGAGCATTCAGGCCTTCCTGCTCAGTGCTTGACTCTCACCAGGCAAGGAGCGCATCAGAGATAGAAACACCTCAATCACCCATTTGATCAGGCCCCTCGGCATGTGCGAGATTGAACAGCAAAGGCACATCCCTCTCGTCCATGCCATCATTTCTGCGTCGCAGGCCTCGGCGTTTCATGATTGCACTACGCCTGGCAACATGCTTTTGCTTGTCAAGACCGAGCATCGAACTGTCCCTATGGCCCACCTCACAAGGAAGTATGGATCAAGAAAAATTATTCAAATTGGTGTGGAAGCAGCGCAGTGAGCACGAAGTGCTTGTTTGCGGCATTCGAAGCGCCTTCAAGACGTTGGACTTCTGGAGTCTTACACTTCATGATACCGATGGTATCTGATGATGTTGTCATCAGGCACCATAGAGGTGCGGGACCCATTGCCATTGATTTGTGTGTTCGACTGAAGATCAACAATGCTCATGATGCCGGTGTGTGGATCTTGGTTGGTTTTGAGAAAAAGCCACCCGTCTGCCTAGCCTCACCCATGGCCCATAACAATAATCTGCACTTGTTCTGTTTCAGACGTTCATCTACAACCAGCGTTTTGCTCAAACATCCTTGCCCACATCCATCTTGGAGTTTGCAGGGTTTCAGGTCTCTCGGATTTCAGGCCTTTGTGGTGAATATGCTGTAGGTGTTCAGTCTTATGATGGTTGACATTGTTGGGCTAACGAGGGCTGACAGAATCATTGATTTTGGATTTAAGGCTTCTCAAGTTTGAGCTCCGCATGGTCTAGGCTTCGTTTGGGATTAGAAGTTTCAGCGGATTTAGGCTTCGGGGGAGTTAACGTCTTAGGGTTTTAGAGGTTTGTGCACTTTAGGGGCTCTAGGGTGCATAGCTGTCCAGGTCTAGCACATCTACGAATGGGAGTGTTGGGCTTAATGGTTTTTAGACTTTGCAATTTCTGTGGTCTCAGGAATTCTCAGTTTAGGGTTGTTTGCCATTATGATTTTTGGATTCTGACAGCTTGGCACCTACTATGTTGTGGCGGGTTTGGGATGTTCAGGGCTGGCGTATCTCATGCGTCAAGGGCCGTTGGGTTGTGGGCTTTTGAGGGCTACTTCAGGGTGTTGGTTTAGGGTCTGCAGAGTTTCTGGTGTTCTCGCTTTGGGGATAATTAGAGTTCCGCGCCGTGTAGGATTTTAGGCTGTGTTGCTTTTCTGTATGGAATTCAAGGTTTGCAACTTCTACGTGCAGCCCACTTCGGGGACGTGTCAGATAGTCAGAGCATAGACGGATTTCTGTCCCGAAAACCAACGCGTAATAGGGTCGTGGCTGGATTTCCTGCAGGTGCCAACGTTTGAGAGGTGAAGGAGTCCGGGCGCCATGCCTGGAGGCTTCAGCGAGGCAGCCAGAACATGACGTCATCGGTGGACGCACCCAGAGAAGATTGCCGATGTTTCTGCCAGCTGACTGGGAAATCTTTCAGAGGCGACTTGCGTGCAGCGCTGCGGTTCTGGAAACACTCTACAATAAGAACTCATGGTTATGCTCGCAGGCAATTTTGCCTGGCCTTTGCCAAGCAACAATGAAGAGACTCAACAAGCATTGATGCACTTCAAGCTCTCAACATCATTGCTTCAGTATTTTGGCCGGCCCTGCAAGCATCCGGGGTTGAGGTTTAACCTCGGCGCTGCAGCCTCTACAAGGCAGCCAGCGCATCGCGACCCCAAGGCCCTTGTGCGAACAAAATCAAGATCTTGCTGTTGCTGAGTGCCGTAGAGGTTTTAGGTTTGAGCATGAAGTGCTCATGGTTCACGCCGAGACTTTTAGGATTTGTAGCTTGAGGGTCTAGCCAGGTGTAGGGTGTTGGGCTCCAAAACGTCAGGCTTTTTCAGTGTTTGGTGCTTGCAGAGATTTGCGGAGCAAGTTTGCCATTTGCGACACAAATCTTGCACTGACCTTCTTGTCTCGACGTCTTAAGCCACGAATTCCAGGCACAACGGATGTGCCCACATGCCACGTGCCCCAAAGCAGGTAGGCAACAAAACGAATCCCACAGAGGCTTGTCGTCCGCTGCAGATTGAATGCTAACGTTAGAGGGACATCCACCTTCCTGCTGCTGCATCTCAAAACTGGCTTGGACATGTCCTAGTTCTGGCCGCTCCGGTATTAGAAGGCGGAAGCAGTCCGCAAGTTGATGTAACTTTAGCTATTCGCGGTAACCTACCGCAACAGCAGCGGCAGCGGCAGCGTCAGCGGCAGCGGCAGCCGTCGTCGCAATCATCCTGGGGCCCAGTATCATATCGACTGTGATAAGGTTTAATTTGTCGCGGCAACCTGTCCAGGTTTCGGCAGATAGCAGCACGGCATTTCGTGCGCCGCCCCACCTCCATGGCCCGAGCGCACAGATTCCTTTTCACAAGTTTGCCAGGGTTGAAGACCTGATTCGCAGGACGAAGCGCAACCCAGCATTCACAAGTTGACTGGAGGGGACATTAAAACCACGACAAGGAAACCTGATGACTCGTCATAACAAGGCTTATCCTATAACAGCAAGCAGCTTTAAAAGCAAAATGATAGTTCATGCTCCGTTGCCTTGCGTCGCCCTCAACCATACTCTTGGAGGAATGCCACAAAACCCACTGCTGCAAGAACGCGGACCCTAGCAAAGGGTTCTGGAGGTGCATCATGCTTGCGTGTTCTTGTCTGCGCATGGTCAATGCCGACCATCAAGCTTGAATGTTCTTCTCTGCTCTGCACGCACTGGTGAAGACTAGACTGTCCTGATGCATTGTGAGCAAAAACCTGTCCTAGTCGCAAGAGATCTGTCATGGTACCAGCACCCTGTTCCTTCAAAAGAAGTTGTCGGAACGTATTTCTTCCCCATTATGTCTGTGTGCAATGTCTCACATTGGACCGTTCAGGCGAGGCATGTACAGAACTTGTTACGACCTTCTGCCTAAGGAAGCTTTTCGCGACACTTGATGCTAAACATGTATGCATGCAATACAAGTGTACAAGGAATGCCTATGTATTACGTGACCCGTGTCCTTTGCGGTAGTCTCTAAGTTTAAGCAACTCCAAATCCAAGAAACTACAATGTCCTAAAAATCTCACCAACTTCCATAGGTTGGTAATTCTAAGGTTTTTGAAGCTTTGCTATTCAATACAAACCCAAAAATGTAAAAGTTTTCCCAAAGCAACAAGTAATTTGAGCCCTATACCCTAAACCCTAAACCATGCCTAGCTTCATTTTCAGATTCCAAGAATCCTGAAGCCTGGTCTAGGGTTTAGGATTTGGGGTTTACTAACCCCCTTAAAAATGGAGAATCAAATGGAAAAGCAAATGGAAAATGAAATGGAAACTAGGACTATATAGGGGATTCTCCAGATGTTGGAACGTCTGCTGTTCACCAAAGCCGAAGAACTTCTCTGAAATTCCCACAGCCTTTCGATTTGCTCAACTTGTGAAATTTCGATATTCAAAAAAATCCAAGTTTCGAAAAATTTCAGGATTTGAGTACCCAGAATTTTTGTAAAATCCCGAAGCTCAAGTTTATGAAATTTTGCTATTCAATAAATTCCGGAAGCTCGGAAATTCCATTAATGTTTACATTGTAGATGCGGTTCAGATTTCAAAAACTTTCTAATATTTCTAGCGCTCCTTCAATGTCTAGGAGATTTTATCCTGAGATGTCATCAAAATGTCTCGAAATCCTAGAGGCGCCTCTTCTGAGCCAACAAAGAGCTCACCGCAGCCACCTTTGGCAAGCATGGCCTGCCCGCTGGCGTCACATTTTCGAAGCCATCCATGCACGTGCTGATTTCAGAAGGCCTCTGCATGCTGCAAGGCTTCAGTGGCCCCTTGAAGAGCCTAACAGAGAAGTGCGCAGTCTGATCTCCAACTGCAAGTCACACTGTCTCCAGGCGCTGCACCTCCCCAAGATCGTGAGAATCAATCTCTACCTGGCGATGCAGCCACAAGTGTCGTTGCATGGAGCAAGCAAACCTTAGAGTAGGGAAGGCCCGTGGGAAGACCTATTGAAAATGGATTCCAAAGCTAGAGATAAACTGATTCCATACTCTTGTTCCCACAGGTTGCCGTCTCAATTCCCAGCCCAGATGTCGGGGCTTAGAAAAAGGACAAGGCTCTGCAAAGCTTTAGACAAAGCCGCCGCCCACCTCTCTGTCTGGGCTGGGGCTGAAGACCCCCATGCTGCCCACTTCAATGAAGCGGCCTCTTCCTGCAAGCGAGGCTTTGACGCACTACTTGCTCTACAGTACTCCTTGTCGGCCCTGATGTCCTTGCAAATCCTTGGGCTTCTTCTGCATCGCATTTGCTCGAAAGTGTCGCCTCAACGTATCCTCTGACAAGGCGCATTCATTTAGTCGAGTTTGTATTGCAGGATTTGTCCTCCATGCTGTTTTTGACTCGGAAGAGCTCCTGGACCTTGAAAGCATCCCATGGAAGATGTCTGAAGCTACTACGCATTTCACCTCTGAAACTTCTGTGCGCAAGCCTGCCGAGCCATGGCCGGCAGGAAGGAGTTGACGTCTGCCAGTCCTGTTGCCAAAGCACCGAGACCGCGATCCAGCTGAGACGTTGCACACCCTTTGCCTTTGCCTTGCACAGCTGAATGCTCGGAAAATCGTGGAGCTACGTCCCGAGCCTGTCGCCAGAGACCATAGAGACAGAGAGGCTTGTCCAATGTGCTGTTGATTGCATCCCATTGGATAGCCTCCCGCCGCAGGGAATCATCAGAATCCTCTCCGGAGTCAGAGCTCAGGTGCGTCACCTCCTGGCACAGCACAAACATATTTGCATTGACTTCATCTTCTTATTCTTGACGGAAACAGTCGAAACGGTGCCTCAATGCCGGGAAACTGCTTCAAGGCCAAGCGCTGGCCTGAAAGACGAACTCATCAAGGGTTCAGTTCCATCTGGCTTGGTGATCCCAGCCTTCACCGACCCGACGTTCGACTTTTTCGTTTTGACGATCCTCTCTGCAGGAGCTGCTAAACGCTTGCATGAGATGTGTGTGCCGAGAGGCCTCCCCTGTGCTCAGTAGTCTTGATGTTGTACGGGCCAAGGACATATCCTGACCATTTCTGCAATGGTTGCAAATCGCACCTTGAAGTCAGGTCCTTCTCTGCGAAGTCACCATGCGTGCTCCCATCCATGGCCAGTCGCCCTTTCCTCGACGAGATGTAAGCCAGAACCATGGCAACCAAAAAACATCTCAGTGCGGCACGCACGCCCATGGTAAAAATCCATGTCCTGAAGCGCAGTTGAATGAGCTGCAGCAGAAGTCTTGACTGTTAAATGTCCTGGTGTGACGAGGCACTTTGCTGGACCAGAGTAGCCTGGATGCACATGAATTCGATTCCAGCATACTCCAGGCATCTTGCATACCAGCGCAAGTAAGACCTGAGTTCAAACACCAAGTGTTCCCGCAGCAGCCGGTTCTCTGAGCACAGGCGGAAAAGCTCTGGGTGGTTTTCCAGCTGGCGCCTAGGCCATGCCGCACGCATCCGAAGGACACAAGACTTGCAAAAAAGTGCGAGGCATATGACTAAACTGACAAGGCTAGATCTTCCTGGGCTGCAAGCCGCAAGATCCTAGGCTGCAGGCATGATTTGAGGATCAATGCACGGCAATCCTCCCTGATGTGCGAGCACAGCATGACAGGCTCTTCCAAGTACGTGGCTTGTTTTCGGCACGTAACTCTGCCAGCTCTTGCTCTGCAGGCCCTGCACGGTTGCTACAGGCCCCGCTTGCTCAGCTAGAAAAATGAGAAGCGGCGAAGCGGCGCCTCCAAACCCAAATCCTGCCGGCCCTGCCAGCTGAGGCCCAAATCCCGCTTCGTTGGCAGCCTTGGGCCTCAGCATCCAGCATCCAGCGCACCACTCAAAAGCTCTGAAAGCAGAGTCTGAGCGCTTTGAGGATGCCACGGACTTCCCTCCACAGGACCTGAGACGAACTCTGCTTACCACTCCCTCTGCCAAGCTGCGCTGTGCAGCACAGGCCTTGCATCAGCTGAGTTGTTGAGCCCAGCCTAAGTGAAAGGCTGCGCTGGGCAAGCAAGTCAACCCAAGCTGTGCCCTGCACTGTCTCATCCGAGCAGTGCTGCGTCGTCCATTGCGGAGGGCTGCCTTCATCAAATGTCCACACGACAAACTAAAGGTATCTCAACGTTGGTCATTGTAATGCCTCTCCGATGAGCAAGCCGTAGCTGTAGCTGCGGCTTCGATCTGAGACATCTTGCCCAAACCTGCAGCTGCAATATCACCCTGCGACGACGAAAACTCTGTTGTGAGCCTAAGACGCAAGCCATGCCGGCGATGAGTCACATACCAGGCCATTGTCGAGACCTGCCATTCTCTGTATTCACTTGAGCCAAACTTGACAGCGCGATTCAGCAAAGGACTGGGTCAGCCGCTTTCGTCGTCCAGTCTTCCATCTTCTGCAGCCAGGAAGGCCTCGCGATTACACTGCATGGAGCATGCAGCATTGCACTCAACGCTTCAAGCCTCTATGGTACCGTCGAGCATGTCAGCTGCTTGCTGGCGGTTGCTGTCCGTAGGGGACGCACTGCACAGCTGCTGTCGAAACCTTTGGAACACGGATGCACCGAACGTCTCTCCAGTCCAGCTACGAGGCAATTTCGCAAGGCCGCGGCACGACTAGCCGAGCAATCAACTCTGGCAGGTAGCATGCCTGGATTCAACGCCCACAAGCATCAACAAGTCAGCAGGTAGCGCAGAGCGGTCCTCGCCAGCAGCGTGGTCCACCAGGAAGCTGAAGTAGTCGCGTAGGGCATCAAAGTAGTGCTCCTTGCGCTCCAAGACCATGTTCAAGTACCTTCGCCAATCCAATTGCTGGCCTTGCAAGGTATTCGACACTAGCAGCAAACCACAGCGTTAAAAGCAGGCGCCCAACCACAAGTGTAGCTCCAAGCTTTTTGAACTGACCTTCCTCCTGAAGCTCCAGGCTCTAGCCCTGCTGCAGGAAGCCACAGCCACCAAACACTCAAGCTTTGTACAAGTTGTGGCATGTTGCTTTCCGGCTGGGTAATTATGCCTCAGCCTTTTCAACTTCAGAAGAGCCGCCGACCTGGCATCTGCATCATTTGCGTGTGCAAAGGAATGGGCGGACAAACCTGCCTTGCTCCAATCAAACCTTAGCAGCGTTTGCACCCAAACCAGATCTTACTGGCTCTAATCCACTGTGAATCCAGGAAGCCTTGGATGCGAGAAGGGATAAGCTATTTGCTCGCATTCATCTTCCAGCTGCTGCCTAGCACGACAGATCTGTGGGAAGGAGCAAAGATGGAATGAATAGGACTCTGGCACTGCTGCTCCAGCATGGGTCAAGGCTGCGCGGAGAAATTCATACTGGTGAGGCCGACAACGAATGCTGGTGACCTACTTCAAGAAGGCTGTAAGAGCTGCCCACATGCCGCTGAGCTGAATCAGCCCTTTAGCCAGTTAAAGCCTCCACACGTACTTCGGCGTCAATCAAAGCCCGCGCCAGCTCGATGAAGGGCACATCACTTGTCGCCGCTGAATGTCGCAGCCTGCATTGGCCAGCATTCAGCATAGTTTAGCAGCAGCTGCTTTCTAAATGTGACTGAGCAGCGAAAGCTCCAACTGCAGCACCTGCATCCAAAACACCAAAAATTGTCCCTCAATCAGGGAGCACTGGATGTGCTAGATTGCAGGACAAGGTACCACGAGACCCGGAAACTTCGCTCTGAAAACATCCGCTATCTCCTTTGCAGAAAATGCCCAGTGCCTTGGAACATCTTGGAAATCTGAACTTGCTACGGGCACCAGTCTTTGCTGTGCACTAACCAGCCAAGTTTTGGACCCTTCCGTGCCAAGCGAGGCTCTTACCAACCTCACCTCGCATTTGCACAAACCTGTCGAGATAAAGCTGCGCGCGTCCATGAATCTTGGCGCGTCACATGCTGCGGAAATCGCGGGAAGGTACTGATGAAATCACCGAAGTCCATGCTTCCGCGCCTGAGCTGAGAAGCAAATCTTGCAAGTCACAACACGAGTGGGACAGGAGTTCTTGGAGCGGCGTCTGGAGGCACCAGCCCGATTGAGATAAAAAGATGTGCATGGTGGCAGATGTGAGTCATTAGTGCAATTAGGCACGCACGCACTGCAGCCTCTGACATCCTTTTGCAGCACTATGGTGCCAAATGCCGTGCAGGCCTTGGTGTGGTATTTGTTCCATCGTGTGAGCATTCGGCTTCTCACACACCTGCCTTCGGCAAGCACGCGACCGGAAAGTCCAGAAAGGTGCACGCCAGGTTCTGGAAGTCTAATCCTGCAAGCAAGGCACACTCTCTTCGTGCGAGCTACACTTTGCAGCGGCAGCAAGGGTGCTGAAGTGTTGTTCCCGTCCTCTCACAAGGGGCGGCAAAGCTTCCAAAAGTTTGCTGAAGTAGGCCGCATTGTCCACCTTAGCGTCTTCTGGCTTCTCGATTTGTGTATGCTGACGTTCGGACTGTCGTTTGATTGCTGAGAAGCTGACATTGCGATTTGTCCAGGCATGTACCAGAACACGCCTCGGACTTGGTCTTTTAATTCAAGAAAAGACATACTGCGATGACGCAGGCAAGCATGAGAAGCTTTTTTGCGCAACGCAGGCACTCGTGTCAGAGTTTTGCCTGCCAGGCTGCAGAATGTCGCACGCTTCCAGCCGCTAGGAACGTCCCCCCGCCTGCACCAGGCCATCACTCTGAGCTCTGAGCTGCGCGTAGCCGTCGAGCGACGCCTTGAGCTGCATCTCCTACAAGAAACATCAAGAAACAACTCCGTTTTGGCGGTAGAGGCTTTGGAACCTGCGGGCATGCTATGATTCCTGCAAGGCAGCTCCTGCAGAGTCATTTGAGCCACGAGCTTTTGCGAGCCCTTTTCTCGCAGGTATGTCGTTGTCCACCTGGCTAGCGCTCGCACCAAACCATCACAGCAAAGCCACGTCGGGTCATCTGCATGACTGAACAACTGCATAATGAAGAGGGGGTGGGCCTGAATTCGGCCCGCGGTGTTTCACCACTGCCGACAATTTCCCGCGTGCACTCATAATCCACGCCAACGAAAATGGGCCCGTTGACCATGATGACCTCTGCGAAGACATGTAAGGCATTGGCATGTTCGATGAAGCTTCTCCAAGTGGGCGTACCTCGCAGCCTCCGAAAAGACCAACAGGCGTCCGGCCCCCCAGAGCCTCAAAAGGCAAGCTGCTGTTGAGATGCTCTTGCTTGTATACAATGCCTTGTGCAGCCACTCATCGCCAGCGACGGGTGGAAACCTTCAAGGCAAGAAGCAAGACCTTCTCGGCTTCGGTCATGTGTTGACACAACTCGACCTGGGAGGCCGGGCTCCGCCTGCATGCCGCAACAGGTCAACGAGCTCTCCAAATGCAGCACCGAAACGCTACTGAGCATGGCATCCATGGCCTACGCTGCCCAGCATGATCTGATTGAAACTCCTTAGGAAAGAAAATGGACCCTGCACGCGGCTTGAAGACACATTGGCTGAAGTTTGCCACAAAGACTCTCTGGAGGGAGGATGGCCTTTCCCCATGGAGACGTGTGGCCAGCCTCCTGAGCAGACGTACTCCTGACAAAGTCAGAAGAAAGTGGAAGGTGCCTCGCTGAACCAGGGGTGGAACTCCGTGATGAGCTCCAACTTCCTTGCGCGCGGCATCCACAAAGCCAGGAATCACCAACTAGTCTCTTCTTCTTGCCTCCTGTGTGTATATGGAAACAGTGGACCAATGACCTGCTTTGCCAAGCTACTCCATCCTGACATGCTAGCAGGAGCCTAACCTTCTTCTCTGAATCGCACCTTCTCGAATTCAATCTTTGCAGGTTCAGGCTGCAGGCTTTGAGTGCCCACATCGTAGCGGGTGAAGAGCAGCCTGCACTCTACAAACCAGGACGGTTCATCAGAAACCCACCTCTCAATTCAGTTTGGCGCCTTCCTTTCACTGGCTTAATGCTTGCAATCTTTGATTGTGCCTAGGTGTCTGGAGGGGTGCGGAATGGAGGCTCAGAAGATTCTCTCAGACGGTTCAAGCGAGGGTCCATTGTTGTCATCTCGCCTGGTCGCAAGCCCACACTGGCAGTGCCTTCGAAGACCAGCCGGCCTTCGAACAAGTCGTCCAAGGGAAATCGAAAACTGCGAAGGAGTGCTGGATCTGGACTGCTAGGGTCTTCACCGTCCAGGTGCTCCATCCACACTTCCAGTTGCTGGGCTGACTTGGAAGGATCAGGCTCTGCAATGAATGCCCGCACAGGCTGACGATGGCCCACCTCATCTTGGGACGCTGGCAGAGATTCTATTTGCGTGTCCCTGAAACTCTTGTTTAAAGAACTGACACAAAACAGTCCACCATGTTCACGAAGTGGACAGAGATTGATCCGGTCTCAAACCAGGCGGGTCCAAATGCCTAAGCTCTGCAAGGCTTACAAATTCCACAGATGCAGGAAGAGTGTACCCGCCTTCAGCAAGAGAGGCGTCAGCTGGGACCAGTGGACAGTTCCATGGATAGGAGCCAGCTTGAGACCGACCTCTGAAACAAGACGGTAAGATTGATTGGCATAGCTGCGAGGCTACGCCTGGGCGGCGGTTGTGTCATCATGAATGGAGTTGTGTCCTCCGCCAACCTGCTGCTCCTGACCATCACAACTGCAGCTTTGGCACCCTGCTTTGCACGACAGTGCTTCTAGCACATGTCTGCTGGTACAAGGACTGGTACAAAGCTCATGTCCTGCAAATCGTTGGGGGGTCGTCGCCATTCACCCGCTATGCAGGCAACGCCCGGTCGAGATTTGCTCATTGCTGTGGCAACATGACGCACCATGCTGTAACCCTCTACTTCTGGTAGGACCTTTGTAGGATTGAATGCCGAAATGTACCCAGCATGGAAACACTTCTGCGAGAAATCACAGGCAGAACACTGTCACACGTTGTCAGACACTGCCAGCGCTTCCGGCCATCAGATCAAGGTTGGTCTCAGCACCCCACGCACGAGTGAGCTGCTGAACGCAGTGGACCCATGCAGGCAGATCATGAACTGCTAGCCCCTGGCGCCACGTAGTGTCAAGCTTGAGTGCCAAGTGAAACCTACTCCAGGAGCGCAGCACTCAGAGCCTCAATGCCAACTATCTCTGGTTGCGCTGCGCAGAGCGTATCAAGAACAGTCTTCGTTGGACTGCCTCAGCTCTACGTCAGCTGGCACACGCTGCGACTGGCGGCAGCAAATTGAGCAAATGACTAATGTTGCGCACAGCCTCGACCTCCATGTGCAGGTCACCGAAGGCCAAAGGCAGGGCCTACACAGAGTCGCAGACCCAATCGAAAAAGCTAGCATGTAACCACCGTCCTCCCGCAGCGCAGTGTGGAGGCCTTACAAAATCAAGCAGGAGAAGAAGGGGTTCACAGGATTGCTTCCACCAAAGGGATCCAAAGGCTATGACCTTCTAAGCTTCGCCCAAAAATCAGCTGCTGAGAATCCTCCACCTGACATGTCTGGCAGCGGATCAGCTTCTTATCATCTGCCCCTGAAACCACTCTGCTGAATGCAGACGGATAGCAAACCCAATGTCCGCAAAGAGCTGCTCTCCAGCGGGCTGGGACAAGAAGTCCTGTCACGGAATGTGCTTTCCAATGTGCCAACTCTGAAGCGTAATTTGAAGGCCTCCCGGGAACGTATCTGGAGGGCCGGGCATTGAGTGCCTTCGATGCGGTTGCGGTCCCAATCTAAGCCTTGGACGCCAGCTCACGACACAGTCAGATCTCCTGTATTTAGTGCGTTCTGCTTTGATTAGCACAGTGCTGAGCTTGCTGCAACTGCCATCTAGACAAGAAGATGCATGCGCTGTCTCTGAGAACAGCCTGGCTATGGTTGCAGACAGCTCATACGACACAACCCGATCAAAACAGGCCAAGGTTTCGTGACTTTAGCCTTGCAAACCACGCTCTGCACGATTGTCAGGGTTTCCTTTGCAGCCTGATCATGCCAAGGCTGCTGGGAGACTGAAATTGCTTGGTGAGAAGCTGCGATCCCTGCTGTGGCCAAGCACAACAGGTCACAGATGGTTATCACCTCTGCTTGGATCATGTAATCTGAAATAAGCTGCCAAAGAATTCTCACTTAACCTGGCTCCAGCCAAGGACTCCAGAGGCGCCCACCTGCGACACAACCTTGGAATCGAAGCTTTCGTTAAATGTTCCAACGCAAAGCGAGGCAAAGCGAGGCAAAGTGCCACACCTGCCAGACGTCAGGACCCAGTCGACTTAACCTGCAGGTTAACACGCAGGACATTTCAAGAGGGACAATGCAGTAACCTGCTTTTTGCAAAGGCAAGCCAGTTCTTGCAGAGAACAGGGAGACAGTGTCGGCCTGCGTTTAGAGTCTCGCAGTGCGTCGCCTGTCTCCTTGTGGTCACGCAGCACGGGCACCAGTTTCAACCGCAGGAAATCAGCAAACTGTCCTGGCCGGAAGCAGCATTAATGACAGCAGCTTCCTGACAGATGGCGCGATTCGAGTAAAGTCGCGGCCCTCAACGTGCCATGCCCAGCACATCCCAGCATGACCTGTGCTCTCCAAGTTCCGGACAGGCTCACTCTTCTCAGGAGAAGGCGGTTTGGACCGCCAAGCCTAGCCGAAGGCTCAGATCGAAGTCTTGGATTTTCCGCGCAAGGTCATTTTACGACATTTGTCACGTTACATCACGTTGCCCCAGCCTCCTCCACGGCATCGGCCACGCCTCTCGACGGCAGATCACCAGCCTGCCAGGTCTGCAAAAGAAAGCTGCAAGCTCAGTGCCATAATGTGCCACAAGCCATGGTGCGATGCCTGGCACATGGAACTGGCAGACTGCATGACATCTTCTGCCCCAGGCAATTTCTCCACTTTAATCCGCCTGAAGCCCGGCACAAAGCCTATTCCACCGAATCATGTTCTGTGTCTGTCCGCGAGAGCACATTTTAGGTGCCCCTGCGGGTAGTAGCCATCATGAGCCGTTCCCAGAATTGAGAGAAGCTCAAAGTCGCCACCTGGGATAGTCACGTTGCCGACTTGCTCCGACTAAGAACTTGCCGCTGAGGTTGGGGCACAGCTGGGTGCCAAGACAAGTGCCGTTCCACTTGGCAATGTCCTCAATGCAGCAGCTAGAAAAGAACTACATTCCATGCTGCAAGAATTCTAAGCCGGATCTTGAAGCAAGTTTAGATCTGCTCCTCATCGGACACATGAAGTGCTTTGAAGGAGTTCTTCCTGGACTTGCAGTCTAGCGGCACGTTTCTGAGTCAACTGCGCTTCTGGGCTGTACAAGTATGCTGAGTGCTTGACTCTTCCTCAGTACGAGAATGAGCCATTCCCTTTGTGACCTTCACTCAGCATCTTCAGGACGGAAATCTGCAATCATGTCGGCATTGATGTTGAGAGTCAACTTTCTCGAGAGTTCATTGTCAAGGCTCTTGCTTCGTAAGAGGTTCTACTAGACTACTCAACGTCAAGTGAAATAAAGCCTAAACATATTCGAGAAAACATGTGTGAAACGTGTGAAGTGGCAGTGGTCGCGCAGAGCCGAGACAGCCGAGACGTTCTGGTTCAGCACCTCGCGGCACCGGATGCCACCGCATGCCACCGGGTCCAGGAAGAGGAGATGACTGGTCACACACATGTACAGTTTTAGCGTGGTCGTTGTGGAGTGCTGCCCGCATCCCACGTCTTCGAGCAAGCAAAACAGCAAGTTTCCATACCAGAGGGCCTCTGCGTCGAGTTTTGCTGTTGCCGTGCACATGGGACAACACCAATCAACCAACCGACTCATCGCCTTTCATAAGGAATACCTCGTGGCCGACAACCAGCTTCCACAGAGCCGGCCCGTTTACACCCCATCTCGTCGCAGTGTGAACAGGCATTATTATGCAGGATATCGCCCTTCTGAACACTTGGATTGTCATGCATGCGGCAATTCTTTGGGCAGTCAACGCGAGCTTCGCTTTCAAGGGCACCGGTATATGTGTCTAAAGAGTGTCTCTTTCGGCACCCAATGATGGAGTCTGGTAGGTTGAGAATTCTACGGCTCGCATGGCTTGCCATGCGCACCCCTTGCATCTGTTGCCACCTTCCTCCTTGCCCATCGCTGCGTCCAAAAAAGACACATTCTGAGAACAAAAGATAACTGCAAAAAAAAAAAGCGTTTTGTTGACACATTCATACATGATGGCAATGACTTTATCCTCACAAGACAGTGGCTAATGCTGGCAAACAATTGCAGCACAAGCTTCCGTTGTAGCTGTCTCCCGCAGGACCCTGGCGAAGGGGCACAGCAGAGTCAGCAGTTCCGACCGAATGGCATCGAGCCTTTCTGGTGCTGTTGTTTAGCATCTCGTGCAGGCCGGGGGCTGTATGGTGTATCGCTTGGCATCGCGCGAGGTCATGGAAAATGCCACATTGCTCCTGAAAATGGATCAATGAATGAGAGTTGGATGAGCCGCCAGTCGAGTTCAGGGATCTGCCATGGTAAAAGGAGCATCGTGCACCGTTGTGCGCAATACGGAGGCGCATGGCTCGGCAGATTAGATGCGGCCCACGAAGTCTCCCTCCTGCTTTGGTGCCCATGTGTGGCGACGAGATTCTCCGCCAACAAAGTACATTCAATCTTTTTGCGCGATTGGGCGCTGCTTGCGAGCTGTCCTGAAACATGGCTCGACCAGCAGAGCGGCACTGCCTCGTTTAAGTGACGAGGTGGGAGCATGCACATCACGATCAGGATGAGAAGAGCGCGAGAGCGCGGGCTACAATAACAGATATCGAATGGCGACATGCGCAGCATTGCTCCTGTAGACACAGGCGTGCTTCCTGGCACCTAAAAGATATGCTTGATTTTTCACCGACTTATACGAGTACCGAGTGTTTTCCAATACACGTCTTGCAAACTGGCAATTCAAGACCCCATCATGTCCGTTGCGGTGTACAAAACACTTCAACACATGTAAGTGGTAGTTGGTCACAACATATGTTTGTAGAATCGCTTACTAGGAGGCTTACTAGCTCAATAATTGAAGAGAGCCGCGCATGAATTCCCACATCAGGGCTGTAGAACGTTGGCCTGCTTCCTGACCTACCTGCTTGACCCTTGTCTTCCCGAGAAGTTGATCTAGTTACTAGTTCTGAGGACCGGCACTTCATGTGTAGCAAGAGCTTCCAAAGTCTTTCTGAGGCAACAGAATTTTGCTGGATTTGATCAATTGAATTTGAAACCCTGAAGAAAGTTAGCGCGAGTATCCTGGTACAGTCCACAAGTAGTATAAGCAGCTTCCCAATCCATGTCTCAAGCAGCAGCTTAGATTCCAGTGCTATTCCAAGCCTCACAGCCCTGGAATGCTCTGGGCACAGCCTCCTCTAAAGATTGACGACAAGAATGCAACAACGAGTTTTGTGTGAGCAATTTACCAGTGCTAAAACACTGACCATGTAAATACTACTCCTAGCTTACTGATAACGGCAATAGTTGGCAAAACACAAAATCGAACCGAACATACAAACTTCGTTGTTTGATACAAGTAGGTAGCATGGAGGCGGGGGGGGCACGGAAACAGCTGTCGGGTGCAGAAGCCAACCAGTCTAGAGGCGATGCAAGAAGGGAACCTAAAACGGCAACAGCGAAGAGCAACAATTTGGATTCGAATTCAACTCACTATCTGCACCTGCCTTGAGGAAGCTTGCATGTCCAGAGAACTGGCGCGGTTCCTTCTGTCACGGGCCCATGCCCTGTATCCCAAGAACATTTTGGCATGATTGCAAAAGCATCGGTCCTCGCCCGGGGCCAACCAGGCCTGAGGCTGGGCAGCCGTCGCAAGAATAATAGGCAAAAGTTTTTTTTGCCGTGTAAAACAGCTCTCCTCTGAACAGGTTTACATGAAAGAGAGCTATTGCCCTGGCCGGGGCCTGGCCAGTGTCGTCCAAGATCGGAAAGTTGTGTCGCATGAAGACCCTGCCGAGGCCACCGGCTGAAATCTGCTAAGAGTGAGACAAGCTGACTACCCCGCTCCTGCAGAGCAAGTGGTGCATAGCCTGGATTTCAGAAACGTTCAGTGCCAAGACAAATCGAATAGACGCACAAAACTGATCTGCCAGGCCTGCAGGAGCTCAGGCGGCTCGGTTCGAACACGAGCGAAGACGACACGGCCACCGAAAGAACCTAGACGCATCAACTTAGCATGCAGCCTTCCGAGCGAGCAACCGATTCCAAAAAGCCCGGCAACAAAGAACCTTTCCCTACATAGTTGAAGGGGACATGACTCGGCAGAGCTTGGGCACCAACCAATACCTTCGGCTCTCAGCTGCACGGATTCTCCGCCTCATCAAAGCCCATGAAATGCTCAGCATGAGCAAACGGTATGACCAGCGTGCCTAGAAATTCTCGGATAGTCCGAGCTGCCTGCCGGATTGAATCTGCAAACGCAGGCCCGGCAGCGACAGTTGTTTCTCGACATGATTCAGGAAAGGTTCTTATGGATCTTTGTTTGCTGCTATGGTGATTCATGGGATCTGACGTTCTGAGCGCGTTCCGCAGCCCTTGCCCATTTCTGGAGGATGTGAGCCGTCACTTGCATTTCCTCTCTTACCCTTTCGGGCCTTCAGACCCAGGCCTTGCATAACGTTCTCGCAATCATGGTCTCTCCACATTCGTGATGTTCATAGCGGCATCGTGCGAGATGCATTTGCAGAGCCACTGTGTGAGTTAAAATCAGAGCGCTTGCGACCAAAGCAAGTCTGAAATGTAGTAGAATTACTCTCGAAGCACTTCGAAGTTACGTCCCTCTCTTCCACAGAATTGTCTTGAAGAAACTTTCACGATGGTGCCCTCATGATGTTGGTTGAACTCAGCTCCTGGCGCATTAACAACTTCAAGGGCAAGCCGAGGCCAACGAAAACTAGCCAGGTCTTCAGAACTTGAATGTACAAGGAGCGCCCAAGATTAATCCAACCACGGTAGTAAACACGACAGAAAAAGAAGGGAGGCTTACCGCAACCAGGACCATAAGCACTACAGAAGGAGGATGCAGTTCTATGCAACCACCAAGCATGATTGCACTCCTACTGCACCTTGACCATGCTATGGTATGAAACGGGGAGAGAGGTCTGATGCAACCACTAAGCCTGATTTTACTTGTGCCATCACCACACTAAGACATTGAATGCTGTGAAAACACGGAGGGAGCAGAGCGGGTTGATCCAACCAGCAAGTATCGTGACCTTGCAAGGGCGGTAATACGACAGAAGGAGTAGATAGGAGAAGGGAGGTTTGATGCAACCACCAGGCATAATAATATGGGTGATGAACACTTAATAGGGAGCAGGGAGAAACCGCCAAGCGTAATGTAATTCGTACCATGACCACGCACAGAGCAGTGAAAGCAAAGGTATGGAGAGGACAAGGCATGATGTTCTTCGTACCATGACCATGCAAGGGCAGCGAACACTACGGGACAGAGCAGTGAAAGCAAAGGTATGGAGACGACAAGGCATGATGTTCTTCGTACCATGACCATGCAAGGGCAGCGAACACTACGGGATGTTTGATGCAACAACCAGCCGGTGCCCTTATGGCAAGAATTGAGAAATCTTCTGAACCTCCCCATCCTGCCCCTCCCCCATGCCGAATATCCGCGAAACAATCAACATCGAAACAACACCCCATTCCAAAAGCTCAGATTGCCGTAAAAGAATCAGTCCTGAACCCCCCACAACCAGCGATAGAATGCGATAGAATCAATAGATCGCTCCTTTGCAGACGTCGTCTGCCCCTACTGCTGCTCAAGCAAGAGACATCTCAAGCCTAGCTACGCTAGCTTTCGTGACTTCTTGCTGCAAGCTAATCGTTCGAGATTCCCCACTACAGTAACATGAACTCCTCGCTCGTGTGCTGCAACGACACTTCCGTGAAAGTCGCAGACTCTGGCCTGCGACACAACCTGTCTTGCTTCACTGAGCCGAGGCTCCTGGATCCCCGAAGCCCGAAGCCCGAAGCATCTCTTGCGTTTGCACTCGGATTTTGAAGAACGTACGGCAATCCGTCCTCGAAGGAAGTAAGCAGAAGGGCTGTGTGAAGACGCTTGATGGGAACCTACAGAGACATGTCCACTAACCACAGCAGAAGCTCGCAGAGAGCAGGAGCACCAGGCAGCGCTCGAAGAGCTTGTCTTGTGCGACAAACCACTGCTGCAGCTGCTCCCTAACAAGGGCTCCCAAAGAGCAAGCAAGCAAGAGAACAGACTGCATCTGAGAATCTGAGAAGCAAACACACAGCGCTGTATCTCGCGTGACTTCAAGTGAATGGCCACGAAATGAGTGGGCCGAGCCCTCCTGCAACGCATGCGCCAAGACGGTGAACAGCGAAATCTGCGCTGTGGTCTCTGCACAGTTGGATGGCTAGACGCTGCAGCGGCAGCAGGCTGAGTCGCATGCTGCGATGGAGGCAGAAGTGCCCGCGGTCTAGGATAGTGACCGCGCTGACCTTCTACCGAGACATGCCATGGATGCTTTCCTTGAAGTATCCGGCAATGCACAGCCTTTCTTCGCTGTCTGCACTCGATGCCTACATGGGCACCGGTTGCCAAGACTACCAGCCACGAAGCAAAGCCTTGCCTGGATCGCGAGCCACTTGACTGTCCACAGACAAACTCCTGCTCCTCCTGCTCCTCGTGAAGCTTTCGTGCACAAGGGCTTAAGCAAAGCTGTTTGACACGAACAACCCATCCTCCTCATCTGGCCCAGGGTCATGAGACGCGGAGGCCATCAAGACAGCATGTTAGTCGCTCATGCGCGCAACATGACTTTAGTAGCTACCTCCTGCAGCATCCATTGGAGCGTACAGGACATCACTTGCAGCTGCGTGAGCAAACATAACCAAGACAAGATTTAGGCAACGCGGTGTCGTTGGTGCAATTTCTCAACCAAATGAAACATGTATGAAATAACTGGAGAGCAAGGCAAGGGTCAACGTCGTTTGCACGACTGACTGAAACACAAAGCAGCACAGTGCTTGGGGGCACTGTGAGACTTTGTCCATCTTGTGGCGCCGCAGTTCGCAGCGACGTTCCCGATCCAAGGCCTCGAAACGCAGACCAACATGGCGTCATAAGGATGCGCCTGCGCAAGCGATGTCTGCTCCAAGGCAGCTGCTGCAGCCAACAGAATCTCCAGCCTGCCATGAAATCGTATACAACATAATTTGCTGTACTGCAGTCGCGAAGCGACAAGGACTTATCTGCACAGGAGACATCATTTTGAGCTGTCCGATTCCTGACAGGTCTCTAACAAACAAGCGAAGGCCTGCTCCAATGAGATTATCAGGTTCCAAGCCGGACAATGGCCAAGAACATCCCAGAAGTTCGGTGGCCTTCTGATACGGCGCGGGCCATACAATGAGCGCCTTGCCAGAAAGACGAAGTCAGTGGAAAAATCTGATGCAGCTTGATGTCAGAGAAGAGCATGAACTAAGCATACTAAGCCGTTCACAGCTCTTCAGAAGCACCCCCTTGCAGCACTTCCTCAAGGGCAGCCTGGACAAGTGCAAGGCTCGATGTCACACATCCCTTCGATGTAGCCAATCCCCACCAGGACCTGGAAAGCCGAGGCTTCCTCCCTTTCTTCGCCTCGCGGACTCAGAAGTAGCATGGCTTTGGAACGCGACTCCCGCACCTGACTTGCTGGCGCCACATGGCCTCGGCAGATTGATATTGACTGGTATAAATGCGAACTGCTTTACTGCCGGTACTAGAGCTGCTTCGGGGAAACTTTCCATCCAACAAGCTAGAAAAGGCTGCCCGGCCTCGAGGAAGTGTCAGGACTAATCTGAAGGTCAGCAGCCTCAAGCTGCAAATCTCAGACTGCAGAAAGCGATTCCAGGCTCAGCATGCTCAGGTTGCAGCTGCGCTCACCAGCCCACGGCCTTCTTAAAAGACATGGAAGCGAGCATAATCGGAGTCGACGTGGAACGTCGGGTGCCCGGCTGGAAAGCAAATCGAGCTGCTGTCGAAGGCTTTTGACCTTTGCGTGACTCAAGTCTCAGAGGAACACCTTCGAAGCCTCATGGCCTCCAGCACCAGCGACTCGACAGTGCCGGAGTACTCTTCGTTCATGACCGCCTAATAGAAGGTACGATGCAACCAGCTCTCGCGGAGGTGTCTGATATGGTTTAATATCGGCTACCATGGTCCGGTATATTGTCTGTGCCGATATCACAACCGCTGCTGGCGCAGTATCCTCTTCCGGTGCGCTTGTCATTTTCCCAGAATCCGCCGACCCCGCTCTGCGG